CTGTGTAAGAGGACCTCAAGAAGGCATTGAAGCTATGGTGCACAGAGCATAGCTGATGTCAAGGAAAGCTCCAGAGGTTTGAATTGCACCAGGCCCTTACGAAAGCTGGATACTGTGCCAAGGGTAACAGACTGCACCCCGCTGAGGAAGGAGACTTTGGAGTAACAAAGCATGTTGGGTCTCAAGATCACTTCCTTGTACTGATGAATGAAAAAGTCTATGACATCAGAGTGGGAGAGATGTCAGCATAAGAATCTCCCTAGATACCCAGAGTTCCATATCACATGACATTTGGTTCTGAGGTACCAGTACCAGTGGTCAGAAGAGAGCCATCCCAGATGTTTCTCCTGCTGATCTTCAGGATTTCTTGAGTCTCATTTTTCCATTAGCCCCAGGCCAGATGTCCACTGGAAACTTCTGTGATGTTCTTCAGCCTGGCCATGGGGTCACTGCAGCCTCCAAGTCCAACACACTACCCAATAGCTGTGGAAGAAAGTGAGAAGGCCTACATTGCCAACATCCCCTCTCTTCCTTCCTCAGAATAATCTCAGGGTGAGTCAAGAGGGTTGGGTACCTCACAGTACAGTACTTGGTTTGTCTCAAGTATTTTTTAGACGGAATTTTTAAACCATTCACTCAGTATTCACAGGAAGTTCCTGAACCTCAACACTCAGAAACTGACAACATGAAAGGCTGGCTAGTGCAAAGTAGGGCTTGGGCCTGGGATGAACAGCACAGTCCTTTATGGTAAAGGAACTGGGCATTTATCTGAGTTTGCATGCATTTGTCTTACCATTAGCTTCTAAAGCAGATGACTGATATAAGCCCCCTACACACACACACACACACACACACACACACACACACACACACACACACACACACGGTGTATCTCACTGATTAATCCAGTTCAGGGAGTTCCCCTCTTCACACCAATAAGAACAAGAAAGCATGCAGCCTAATTTTGGAGCTGCAGAGAGTTCAGAGTAGATACTGATTTTTTTTCCCCTATGTACATAGAAGCAACTACCACTGACATGCAGCATTTTCGGTTTGGGATATACATGCTAGAAAATTTGCTCATGTGTATAAGGACACATGCTGACAGCAGCACAGTTCTCCATAGCCAAGCCCTGGAAACCACTCAAAGGCCAACGCTCAGCACAACGGAACGGCGAACACTCTAGAGCAATGAAAACATACATGGATGCACAGCACAATCATAATGTTGAACAAAAGAACATTAAGATAGCATAGATGCTATAATTTTTATAAATGGAGGCAAATATATTGGTTTTGGCATGCTCATGAAAATCGCCCAATTCTTTAAAATACTAAGGAACCGATTGACATAAAAAGTCAGGATGACAGTGACCTCTAGGAACTTAGGAGGTGTGAGGTAGCCATCCATGTGCTCTATTTCTTGGTTGTTACATGGGTGTTGACTTTATAACCATTTAGTTACACATGGTATTTATAATTTATATGTATTTTAAAAGTTAGTACAATAAAATAATTAATTGCTATTAAAATTAGGCTGGCGAGATGGCTCAGTCAGTAAAGGTTGAATTCGGTCCCCAGAACCCACATGGTGGAAGGAGAGAACTGACCTCCACATGCATGTTGCAACACATGTGCACGTGCACACACACACACACACACACACATACAATACAAACTAAAAAAAAAAAAAATGAACAAAGCCATGTGGAGTAGAGCACGTCTCTAACCCCAGCACTCAAGAGATAAATGCAAGTGGGTCTCTATACGTTCCAAGCCAGTCAGGGCTCCATAGTGAGTTCCTGTCTCAAACAAAGCAAAACTGTAATAACAATAACAATAACAACAACAACAATAATAATAATAATAAATAATAGATGAGAACAAAAAATAACAAAATTACATTTAAGGCAGTAAATATGGATACCAATACAAAGGGATATTAAGATAATATATCAATTATATTTATATGTACATAGAAAATGGATTTAAAATACATAGGATAAAATTTGACAATTATAGAGATTTTAGTATCTCCTAGAAACTGACAAATCAAGCAGACAAAAAAAATGTTAGGACTATGGTTCTCAATAACAATAGCAAAACATACCCATAATAGATTTTTTTATTTAATTTCTTTCTTTAGAGCCACAAAGTTCTTATTACATAGGTCTTTTACTTGTTTGGTAAGCGTTACACCAAGATACTTTATGTTGCTTGTGGCTATTGTAAAGAGTGATGTTTCTCTGATTTCTTTCTCTGTCTCTTTGTATTCTGAAAAAAAGTAGGGCTACTGATTTTTTTTGAGTTTATCTTGTATCCTGCTAGTTTGCTGAAGGTGTTTATCAGTTGTAGGAGGAGTTCCCTAGTAGAGTTTATTGGGTCGCTTATGTAAACTATCATATCATCTGCAAATAGAGACAGTTTGACTTCTTCCTTTCCAATTTGGATCCCCTTGATCTCCTTTTGTTGTCTTATAGCGTTATCTACAACTTCTAGTACGATATTGAAGAGATATGGAGAGAGAGGGCAGCCTTTCAATTTTTAAAGTAGTATGTGGAATATATTAAAATTCATCACAAAGTCTGAACAAATTCTAAAAACTCAATAGCAAAAGACCATATTCTGTTGCTGTGATAAAACACATGAACAAGGTGACTTATAAAGTTTATTTGGGCTTACGGTTCTAGCAGACTATGAGTCCATCATGGGGTGGGGGGCACAGCAGCCAGCAGCAGTCATGACTGCAAGAAGCAGGATGTGTTGAGTTCACATCATAAAATGTAAGCAGAGAGAATGAACAGCAAGTGGAACACAATTATAAATATGCAAAGCCTGCTGGTTGAGGTACTTCCTCCAGTAAGGCTCCAGCTCCCAAACCTCCCCAAACAGTGGTGGGGTTACGTGTTCAAATAGCTAAGCCTATGGTGGATGCTCTCATTCAAACCATTGCAACATTGCAAGCATAGATATACACCAGAATGTACCAAATTTTATACTTCAAGTATAGTTTTTATGTTAATTTTACATCAAAATTGTTTTCAAGCATATGTGTGTTTGGAATACTTGTATTTAGACACTTATTTACAAACCAGAAACAACTGTAGTACTTTTATAGTTTTAAACAGTTAAAATCGGATAAAGGTAGATGTGATAATAAGAGTCTAAAACTATTTGCATTAGTGTGACTGTCCTTAATGGCACTCGAGGCATCTCCAAAACCCTCCTCTCCTCTGGAAAAGGATTTTAATACTTCTGTTTTAAACTAGTAACTATGAGATTAAAACTAGCCACCAAATATAATCTTTTAGAATTATTATATGAGTACAGGTGCCCATGGAGGCCTGAGGCAGGATGCACTGGATCTCCTTAGAGCTGGAGGTACAGGCAATCATGAGTCACCAAACATGGGTGCTGGGCACCAAACTAGGATCCTCTGCAAGAATCATCACTCTTAACTGCTGAGTCATCTCTCTAGCCCCCATTATAATATTTTAATTACATTTCTTCTTTTATTCCCAGATATTGTTAAGGCCAGGTGTGGTGGCACATGCTTATATTAGCAATTGGGAGTGGTGGAGAGAAGTTCAAAGTCCAATGTTAGCCTTAGCTTTAGCGCATTCAAAGCCAATCTGGAATACACGGCAACCCATCTCAAATATATGCATGCACATACACATTACACACATTGTCAAAACTTTGGGCTAGAGAGATGGCTCAGTGGGTAAGAGTACATAGTGCACTTGCAGAGGACCAGAGTTCAGTTCCTAGTACCCACACTGGGTTGTTCACAACTGCAGCTCCAGGGGATCCAGCACCCTTTTCTGGATTCCAAGGGCACTAGCACTCAACACATGCATATGCATGTGCACACAAACACACGTACACTTTTAAAAATGAGAGTAAATCTTTTAAATAAAAAAGACTTCCAAACCTCCTCACAAAAATTTCTTAAGAGCAATTTTGCCAATTCAGAATAAATAACCAAATGCTTTTTCTAACAAAGCCATCAAAACATTCTACAGATTATGGGTTAGTTACATTTGTTTCTCAACCTGTGAGTCATGGCCCTTTCATAGAAAATTACATTATGATCCATAACAGTAGCAAAATTATAATTATGAAGTAGCAATGAAGGTAATTTTATGGTAGAGGGCCACTACAGCATGAGGAACTAACTGTATTAAAGCGTTGCAACATTCGAAGTTTGAGAACTACTAGGTTAGTATTTAGACATTTAACTACAGGTTAACATGGAAAAGAATTTTACAGAAAGAACCAGTTATTATTTTATGTCATCAAAGTCCAACCCTAGGGTCTGAATGCCTGCTTTTTTGGTACTCTCCATACTACTGTGCTGCTTCCTAGAAATGATTTACAATCAACCAACAAGAATATCATTTTTAAAGGGTAGTTGATTCATGGATGTCATACTGACTATAGGGCATAGAGAGTAAATAGAAAGCAGTAAGACTAGGACTCTTAGGTAAAATGCAGTAAGGAACACTCCATGGCGCAAGCAAGTTCTCAGTCTACAAAGATAATGTGACTCATTATTGGTGAGCAATAACAAGTTAAGTCACTAAAAACACATTTGGAAATTCTTTATAAACTTTTTTATTTATGAAAGTACATTACATCAGTATTGCAAAAAAAAAAAAAAAAGAGACACATTTTCTCTAAAGGACTTCTACCTAATCATGTATATCACCTCATGATTAACTTCCTATTTTAATACAAAGACAAAACCTTTTCTTTCTGCTTTGAAAGGCATCTTAATAGAATATGTCCATTAGTCCTTGCCAGGAAAACAGTGGCTTCCTATTGGTTGGGCTTAGAAAGTAATTGGCATTCTTTTTTCTCTGACCAAAAAGTCATTAAACCTTGAACTTAAATGCCACTTTCTATAACTGGTAATCTCTCCCTTAAAATAACATTACATTTAAAATACTCAAGTACTACCTAGGAAATGATTAAGGGATCTAAGGTGAATTTACTATCTTAATAACTTAACAGCTGCTTCCTATTAAATAATCAAAAAATAAAACTTATATGATTGAAAATGACCCAATGGTCAGAGGATGAATTCTGAGAGCTGATACATTTTAGAATCTTGTCTCAGGATCAGTCCTTTTAAATACTTAAAATATTAAGAATACAATTTACACAGTAAAAAATGATTTGATTTGTTTTCAGTATGAAAGTACTTTTAATTTCTTTACTGCAGGTACAATGGCATCCAAGTCATCAATTTCTGTAACAGAAAAAAAAAAAGAATTATAAAGAATAATTTTTTTCTAGTGAAAAACCCATAAAAATAAGAAACTCTCCCACAGGCAAAATTTAAACCCTAGAGCAGCAATAGCAGTAAGTGTTCTCATGCAGCTGGAGTCTTCTCCAGGAGCTGCTAGCTGTAGACCACCACTGCCTTGCACAGGTGTTCCACAGGCTATCTGTGATGTCCCTTTGACTCTTTGGGAGATCTGAGATCTGTTCAATTGATCTGTTCAATCAGAGATGTGTGGCACACCAGGACAGAGCTCAGGGACATGGCTGATCCTGGTCTGCATTTTCAGACAAAGCAGGGCAGGTTCTTCAGCAGCTTCTGAGTTTCATTTTCTTCTAAGGCATCAGATTTCAGTGAGACTCAGCCAAGAGTGCACTTCTATAGCTCCTACTCACTGAGGAAGCAATACTCGCCCTTACCCAGGTACCATCCCTACTAGCAGGCTCCAAGTGGCAGTGTCTGCATGTTCTAGTTTATTTTGCTTGGTCATTGCTTATAAACAAAGACAGAGCCAAGAGTCTCACAGAATAAGCCATTCAGCCACCATCAACCAGTCTTACCTAAGATTTCAAGAAGATCGTTAGTAAAAGCTTGAAATGCTGGAAAAAATTCCTCATGTTCTTCCAATTTGTTGATAATGCTGTTTTAAAAATACAGTTTGCAAAAGTTTCCAACTTAGGGTTTTTGCAATTAATTGTTAACAGGTAATTGCAGATAGAACATTTTCAAAGTGAAAAAGAAACTGTCTTGCTAAATTGACTATAAACTTAATGGTCAGTTACAGCAATTATTTTCTTTTTAAGATTTTAATTCATCTTTTTAAAAAAGGCATATTATTTAGAATATCTACTAAAAACAAGCTTCTCTACCTAGTATGCTATTAAACATTAAGTACGAAAGGTCAGTAAACAATGAAAAGGAGGGGAGAGACCAATAGTGAAAAGACTAAGTGCCAGATTAAATAAAGGCTCTTCCAGGAAACTTGCAGAATATGTGGGTGATGTGAGGAAAGGGTGTGTGTGTGTCTGAATGCTTTTGGTGTTTCACTATATTTCGCAGTATAAAATTATTTTGCTGAAAGTTGCTGAAAACTATTAATGTCTCAGGTGGTTATTTTGGAGTAGGGGTTACTGGAGAAAGATCCAGAGTTTCACGCATGGTAAACACAAGCTCTACCACTGAGCTATACAACAACCTTAGCCATATATATATTAATTAATCAGGTTTTATATTAGTGGTGCCTGGTCTTTTAAAATTCTTCAATATTTATCTTCTAAACAAAAAATATATGATTAGTAATTACTCATTTGTCTTAGCAGTGTCCTTGAAATAAGTTACAGGTTATAATCCAACTCAAGAACTGAATATAAAGATTTTAATTTCTCTATATGTAACTTCCCCTGGAGGAAGAGATAGGCAGATAGATTTGTGTTCAAGGCCACCCTGGTCCACACACAGTTCCAGGACTCTTAGACCTTGTCTCAAAAAAAAAAAATTATCACTCCTGATAAGCAACTTATAAAGCTTTGAAAGTCTTTACTTTTTATCACTTCAAGCACTTTGGACAGATACACTTCTAACATATACCTTTGTAGGTCTTCAGGTCCTAATACTTGTTTAACCTGCTCATTCACATCCTCATTGATTATCTTACACAATTTTCCAACCGTGCTGACCACCACACACAACGAGGATGAACTGTCTGCAAGAGAAATGAAAACAGGATATGCAACCGTGTGTGTATATATATATATATATGTGTGTGTGTGTGTGTATATATATATATATATATGAATTTCCAAAATCATTACACTAATCTAACATCTACTGCTTCAGTTACTAATTTTATTTTTGGTGGGGGAAATGGATTAAGATTTATTTTTATGGGGCTGGAGAGTTGGCTCAGAGGTTAAGAGCACTAACTGCTCTTCCAGAGGTCCTGAGTTCAATTCCCGGCAACCACATGGTGGCTCATAACCATCTGTCATGAGATCTGGTGCCTTCATCTGATGTGTAAGCAAATATGCAAAAAGAACACTGTATATGCAATAAAAATAAGTAAATAAATTTTAAAAAGATTTATTTTTATTAGTTAACACATCTGTATGACTATGTAAGTATAAGGGTGTGTACACCTCTGAAAGGCAGAGGCCAGAAGGAAGCATTGGGTACTGTACCCTTCTCTATCACCCTTTGCCTGTTTCTTTAAGACACACTATCTCCTTAAGCCTGGAGGTTATATTTTCTTAACTAGACTGGAAGCCAGTGGGCCTCAACAATTCTGTCTCTGTTCTCTTCAGAACTGGAGTAACAGGTGTTTGTGGGAAATCCAGCTTGGGATCATATGTCTAGTACTCATGATTGCAGAGAATGTGTTCTTAACCACTGAGCCATTTTCCAACCCTGGGATTTGTCAGGCTGTGCATGGTGTAGTATACACCTTTAATCCCAGCACGCAGGAGGCAGAAGCCAGGTGGATCTGAGTTCATGGCCAGCCTGGTCTACACAGTGAGTTCCAAGACAGGTAGGGCAGTAACACAGAAAAATACTGTTTTGAAAAACCAAAAGATAAAGGAGATTTGCATGTGTGTATGTATGAATGTATGCATGTATGTACGTGTACGCAAGTACTTTTGCACACATGGAAACTAGGAAGGGATGTTGGATTTCTTGGAGCTGGAGTAAGGGATTTGGGAGATGTTTGGTTTGTTAAGGGTGCTGGCACATGAACTCCAGTCCTTATAATTTCACAGCCAGTTCTCTTAACTACTGGGCCGTCTCTCCTGCCCCCATTTACTTAGTACAAGGATTCTATATGTGCACCACCATGCTCTGTTTATGCAGTATTGAGAGTCAAACCCAGAGTTCATTCATGTCAGGCAAGCACTCTACCAAGTAGACACAATCCCTACCCCTTGGTTTTTTTTTTTTTTGTGGTTTTGTTGGTTTGATTTTTTAACTAAAAGGACTTTGTGGGGTGTGGTAGTGCACACCTGCAACCTGAGCTCTTGGGAGGTGAAGGCAAAGATCAGGAGGTCGAAGTCAGCTTTGGCTACAGTGAGAGCAAGGCAATGCTGTTAAAACAAAAACCCCACACCTAATTTTTGTTAGTTTATTAGGAGTAGTTCTTAAATTAGTGGCAAAAATGACAAGGGCCATCACCTAGTTCTAAGATCTCCTGGAGGTTTCTCACTGCGTTGTTCATTTCTCCAAGCCTGGTATATACTTCATTCATTCGGGGATAGACTCCATTTAGAGACTGCACATCAAAGAGCTTTTGGAAGTGAGAAACAATAGCTTGCAAAGTTTGAAAGTTTGGCATACTGCTGCTCTATAAGGAGAAGGTGAAAAAGATAGTTTATAACTTGAAAGAATATTAAATATTTAATATAAACTTTAAAATGGAAACAGTTTTATAAATATCACGTTACCTTTTTCTCGTTTTCAACCTCTTCCAACATGGTATCTACCATAAACAACAGATCTTCTACTTTGACACCTTCATTTTCATCTGGTTTCTTTAAATTACGCCAAGGTACCAGTGCTGAAGACAGTATTTTTAAGGACTTATACAAATCCTTTACAACAAAAGAAACCACATGTGTTATTGGTTATAAAATAGTTCATATTGTAACACTAACAACACAGTAACAAGGTGGTCTAAAAATACATAACTCTGTAATCATCATCAATATATTTTAATACCATTGACAATTTAAAACAAGTCTGGATGCTTTAAGCAAAATGTTATATTTAAGTAGTTATTTTGGTTTTAAAGTCATTTTTATCAGTGCTGGAGATAGCCCAGACCCTCCCTCACAAATACAAGGCAAATACTTTACTCCTGAGCCATACCCCTAGCCTAGGCTTTAAATATTTTTGGAGCACCTTTGAGATAAAATTTACATTCCAAAATACTCACTCTTATTAGGATATAATTTGATGGTTTTCATCTTTTCACAGTGGGACAAAACACCACCACTGTCTAATTTCAGAACCTATCCATCTTCCAAAAAGAACTCGCACACCCAGGGCTGGAGAGAGGGCTCAGCACTTAAGAGTGCTTGTTGGTCTTCAGAAGACCAAGGTTCAGTTCCCGGCACCCACTTGATGCCATTCATAACTCCAGTCCAGAGGATCTGACACCCTCTTCTGACCTCCACAGGAACCAGACACACACATATATATGCAGGCAAAATGTCCATACACATTAAAATTTTTTAAAATAAAAAAAGAAATCCAATGCCCACTAAAAGTCCTTTTCTACGCTTCTCCAGCCTCTATAACTACTAACCCACTTCTGGCTGCTACAGATTTGCCTACTCTTGGTGTTTTATGTAAATAAAATTATAACAAGTGGCCACGTGTGACTGACTCCTTTTGAGAATCGCCTGCATATTATTGACAGGAATGAGAACTGTACAGCCATTGTGTAAAACGTATATAGAGGTTCCTCAAGAAAACTAAAGACAAAACTGCCACACAGCCTAAAAATCCTACACCTGGGGATGCATCCAAATAAAATGAAACTATAATATGTCAAAAAGATGGCAGCTCTCACATGTTTACTGAAGCACCATTCAGAATTGTCAAGACACGGGACCATGTCTTGTGTCTGGTGATAAATGAATGGCTAAAAACAAATAGTGTATATAGGTGAACATACAAACATGCACGTGTATATATACAATGGATACTGGCCATAAAAAAAATGACATTTGTCATTTACTGAGACATGGACAGAACTGGAAGACATTATGTTAAGTAAAATAAAATAGACACAAATACCACATGTTCTTACTTATAAGTAAAACTTTCAAAGGCTAATCTCATAGTGGTTCCTAAAGCCTGAGAAAGGTTTGAGTAAGAAGGGAGAAAGGATGGTTAATAGTCACAGGGTGCAGCTGGGTAAGAGAAATAATTTATAATGTCTTATACCACAGTAGGGTAACTAAAGCTCACAAAATTAATTATTTTAAAATGGCTTGGAATTTTTCATGTTCTTAACACTGATCCTACTCTCTATATGTACTGAAATGTCACACATGTATATGGCTATTTGTTAATTGAAAATAAAACATATAATAAGGCCAAGTGGCACATGCCTTTAATCCCAGCATTAGGAGGCAGAAGCAGGTGGACCTCTGTGAATTTAAGGTCAGCCTGGTCTACATGGTGTGTTCCAGGCCAGCCAGACTTGTATAATGAGGCCTGCCTCAAAAATAAATAAATAAATAAATAAATAAATAAATAAATAAATAAGCAAGCTGCTCGGAGCCTCCTGAGGACTGGGGACTGTGTGCAGGGGAGCCTGTCCCCATGGACTGCCCTTTCCAGAGTCTGCCAGCATCCACCTACTGGAAGAGAAGAGCCATCGGAGTATTGGACATGCTTGCATCCAACAGAAGAGAACCTTGGTTCCATACCCACCAGAAAAGGGAGAGACCCCACCATACGCACTGGAAGAAGGAATGGGTAGATCGACATTATAAGAACACAGCCAAAAACAGAAAGATCAATATATCACACCCAGAGTCTAGGGACTCCACACCAGCAAGACTTGAACATCCCAACACAGATGGAGAAGAGAACCTTAAAAACAACTTTATGAAGATGATAGAGACCCTATAAGAGGAAATTAAGAAATTCTTTAAAGAAATGGAAGAAAGAAAACAAACAAACAAAAAAATGCAAGAAATCAAATCTCTTAAAGAAAGCAAAGGAAGCCAAGATAAAACAATCAAATGGATGAAGGAAACAATTCAGTTTATGACCTGAAAACTGAAATAGAGACAATAAAGAAAACACAAACTGAGGGAATGCTGGAAATAGAAAAGCTTGGTAAATGATTAGGAACTACAGATACAAGCATAACAAACAGAACATAAGAGATGGAAGAGAGAATCTCAGCTATTGAAGATACACTAGGAGAAATAGATTCATTGACCAAAGAAAATCTTAAGTCCAACAAATCCCTAACACAAAATATCCAGGAAATATTGGACACTGTGAAAAGGCCAAACCTAAGAATAATAGGTATAGAAGAAGGTGAAGAAACCTACCTCAGAGGTACAGAAAATATATTCAACAAAATCATAGAAGAAAACTTTCTCTACCTAAAGAATGACATGCCAATGAAAGTACAAGAAACTTATAGAACACCAAATAGAGTGGACCACAAAATAAGAGTCCCCTTGCCACATAATAATCAAAACACCAAGCATACAGAATAAAGAAAAAAATGTTAAGAGCAGCAAAGGAAAAAGGCCAAGTAATATATAAAAGCAAACCTACCAGAATATCACCTGACTCCTCCATGGAAATTCTGAAGGCCAGAAGGGCCTGGATAGATAGTCTATCAACACTGAGACCAAGGATGCCAGCCCAGACTACTATACCCAGCAAAGCTTTCAGTCACTATAGATAGAGAAACCAAGATATTCCATGACAAAACCAGATTTAAACAATACTTATCAACTAATCCAACCCTACAGAAAGTTCTGGAAGGAAAACCCCAACCCAAGGAATCAACTATACCCACAAAAACATAGACAATAGATAATCCCATTTTACTAACAGCCAAAAGAAAAATGGCAGGAAATCCACACATAATACCACCACCACCACCAAATCTGAAACAAACAAGAATTAACAATCAAAGGTCATTAATATCCCTCAATATTAATGGTCTTAACTCACCTATAAAAAGACACAGACCAACAGAATGGACACAAAGACAGAACCCATCCTTCTGCTGCACACAAGAAACACACCTCAATTTCAAAGACAGATATTACCTCAAAGTTAAGGGCTGGGAAAAAGATTTTCCAATCAAATGGATCCAAGAGACAAGCAGGTGTAGCAATCCTAATATCTAACGAATTAGACTTTAAACTAAAATCAATCCAAAGAGATGAAGAAGGTCATTTCTTATTCATCACAGGAGAAATCCATCAAGATGATGTCTCAATTCTGAACATCTATGCCCCAAATACAAAGGCACCCACATTCATAAAAGAAACATTACTAAAATTCAAATCACACAAAAAACCTCACACACTTATAGTGGGAAATTTCAACACACCACTCTCAACACTAGACAGGTTCACCAAACAGAAACTTTAAAAAGGAAACAAAAGAACTAACAGAAGTTATAACTCAACTGTGTTTAACAGACATTTATAGAACATTCCATTCAAACACAAATATACCTTCTTCTCAGTGCCCCTTGGAACCTTCTGTAAAATCATCCACATACTCGGCAATATAGCAAACTTCAATAGGTACAAAAAAATTGGAATAGTCCCCTGTATCTTATCAGACCACCATGCTTTAAAGTTAGAATTCAACAACAGCACAAATTGCAGAAACCCTACAAACTCATGGAAATTGAACAATGCGTAACTGCACCATTCCTGGGTCAAGGAAGAAATAAGAAAGAAATTAAAGACTTCCTAGAATTCAATGAAAATGAAGACACAACATACACAAACTTATGGGACACTTTGAAAGCAGTACTAAGAGGGAAGTTCATAGCCCTAAGTGCCCAAATGAAGAAACTGAAGAATAGTCACATTAGAGAATTAACAGCACAACTGAAAGCCCTAGAACAAAAAGAAGCAAACTCACCCTGGAGGAGTAGATGCCTGGAAATAATTAAGAGAACTGAAATCAATAAAGTAGAAACTAGGAAAACAATACAAAGAATCAATGTAACAAAGAGTTGATTCTTTGAGAAAATCAACCGGATACATAAACCTTTATCCAAACTAACCAAAGAGCAGAGGGAGAACATACAAATTAACAAGATCAGAAAGGAAAAGGGAGACATAACAATAGACACTAAGGAAATCCAGAGAATCTTCAGGTCATACTTTGAAAACCTGTTCTCCACAAAATTCAAAAATTTAATGGAAATGGAAATTTTTTTCTGGACAGACATCACTTACCAAAATTAAATCAAGAATAGATAAGCAATTTAACTAGACCTATAATCCCTAATGAAATAGAAGCAGTCATCAAAAGTCTCCCAACCAAAAAAAGCCCAGGGCTTTTGTTTCAGTTCAGAATTCTATCAGAAATTCAAACAGCTCATACCAATACTCCTTAAAGTGTTTCACACAATAGAAGCAGAAGGGTCATTGCCAAACTCTTTATGAGCCTACAATTACCTTAGTACCCAAGCCACACAAAGACACAACTAAGAGAACTACAGACCAATATCCCTCATGAACATTGATGCAAAACGACTCAATAAAATACTGGCAAATCAAATCCAAGAACATATCAGAGAAATCATTCACCATGACCCAAGTAAACTTCATCACAGGGATGGTTCAACATACAAAAATCCATTAATGTAATCCACCATACAAACAAACCAAAAAAGAAAAATGATGATCACTTCACTAGATGCTGAAAAGGCCTTTGACAAAATCCAACACCCCTTCATGATTAAGGTATTGGAGATATCAGGAATATCAGGAACATACCTAAACATAATAAAAGCAAAATACAGCAAACCAACAGCCAACATCAAATTAAATGGAGAGAAACTCAATGTGATTCCTCTAAAATCAGGAACAAGACAAGGCTGTCCATTCTCTCCATATCTCTTCAATATTGTACTTGAAGCTAGAGCAATAATACAACAAAAGGAGATCAAGGGGATACAAATTGGAAAGGAAGAAGTCAAATTCTCACTATTTGCAGATTATATGATAGTTTACATAAGTGACCTGAAAAACTCTACCAGGGAACTCCTACAGCTGATAAACACTGTCAGCAAAGGGGCAGGATACAAGATTAACTCAAAAAAATCAGTACCCGTACTATATACAGATGATAAAGGGGCTGATAAAGAAATCAGAGAACATCACCTTTTACAATAAATAGGCACAAACAACATAAAATATCTTGCAGAAATAGTGAGAGACCTATATAATAAGAACTTTGAGTCTTTAAAGAAAGAAATTAAAGGAGATACCAGAAAATGGAAATATCACCCATGCTCTTGGATAGGTAGGATCAACATAGTAAAAATGGCAATCTTGCCAAAAGCAATCTACAAATTCAATGCAATACCCATCAAAATCACAGCACAATTCTTCACAGACCTTGAACGAACAATACTCAACTTTATATGGAAAAACAAAAGACCCAGGAACTTCCAGAGTCATCACCATTCCTAACTTCAAGCTCTATTATAGAGTTATAGTACTGAAAACAGCTTGGTATTGGTGCAAAAAATTGACAGGATGACCAATGGAATCGAACCAAAACCCTGATATTAACCCACACACCTATGAACACCTGATTTTTGACAAAGAAGCTAAACTTATACAATGGGAAAAAGAAAGCATCTTCAACAAATGGTGCTGGCATACCTGGATGCTGGTATGTAGAAGACTGCAGATAGACCCATGTCTATTGCCATGCACAAAACTTAAGACAAAATGGATCAAAGACTTCAAATAAATCCAGCCACATTGAACCTCTTAGAAGAGAAAGTGGGAGGTTCCCTTAAACAAATTGGTACAGGAGAACGCTTCCTGAACATACTCCAAAAGCACAGACACTGAGATCAACAATAAATGGGTCCTCCTGAAACTGAGAAGCTTCTGTAAGGCAAAAATCACAGTCAACAAAACAAAACAGCTGCCTACAGAATGGGAAAAGATATTCACCAACCCTACATCTGACAGAGGACTGATTTCCAAGATATACAAAGAACTCAAGAAGCTAGTTGCCAAAACATCAAACAATCCAATTAAAAAGTGGGGTACAGAACTAAATAGAGAATTCTCAATAAAGGAGTCTAAAATGACTGAAAGGCACTTAAGAAATTGCTCAACATCCTTAGCCATCAGTGAAATGCAGATCAAAACAACTCTGAGATACCATCTTACTCCTGTCAGAATGGCTAAAACACCAAAGACAGTTTAAGCTGAAGAGGATGCGGAGAAAGGGGAACACTCCTACACTGCTAGTGGGAGTGCAAACTTATACAGCCACTTTGGAAGTGAGTATGATGGTTTCTCAGGAAAACGTAAATCAGTCTACCTCAAGATCCAGTTAATTCTACTCTTAGGCATATACCCAAAGGATGCACATTTGTACAACAAGGACATCTGTTCAACTATGTTCATAGCAGCATTATTTGTAATAGACAGAGCCTGGAAGCAACCTAGATGCCCCTCAACTGAAGAATGGATGGAGAAAATGTGATACATTTATACAATGGAGTACTACTCAGCAGAAAAAACAAACAAACAAAAACCAAAAAATCAATAGAATCTTGAATTCAAAGGTAAATGAATGGAACCAGAAGAAACCATCCTGAGTGAGGTTACCTAGTTACAAAAAGACAAACCAGTATGTACTCACTCATATATGGTTTTTAGACATAGACCAAAGGATCACCAGCCTACAATCCACACCACCAGAAAAGCTAGGAAACAAGGAGGGCCCTAAGAGAAACATATATGGTCCCTTGGAGAAGAGGAAAGGGACAAGATCTCCCAAGCAAATTGGGAACATGAGGGGAGGGAAGAGAGAGGAGGAAGAGTAGGGGAGAGATGAGCATGATGGAGCAGGAAGATTGAGTCAAGGAAAGAATAGAGGAGAGCAAGAAATATAAGGAGCCATTGTAGGTTTTAAGAGAAATCTGGCATGAGGAAAATGTCCAGAAATCTACAAGGATGACCCCAACTAATAATCTAAGCAATAGTGGAGAGGTTATCTTAAATGACCTTCCCCAATAATGAGATTGATGACTACCTTATAAGCCATCCTAGAGCCCACATCTAGTAGCTAAGGAAAGCAGAAGCAGACACCCACAGCTAAACACTGAGCCAAATTCTTGGTATCCAGTTGCAGACAGGGAGGAGTGATGAACAAAGGGGTCAAGACCAGGCTGGCAAAACCCACAGAAACTGCTGACCTGGAACAAAGGGGAGCTCATGAACTCCAGTCTGATAGCTGGGAAACCAGCATAGGACTGACCCAGACTCCCTGAATGTGGTGTTAGTTAGGAGGACTGGGCAGTCTATGGGGCCTCTGGTAGTAGATCAGTATTTATCCCTAGTATAAGAAAGGACTTTGGGAGCCCATTCCACATAGAGGGATACTCCCTCAGCCTAGAAACATGGTGGAGGGCCTGAGTCCTGCTCCAAATGGTATGAGAGACTTGGAAATCCCCATGGAAGTCCTCACCCTCCTTGGGGAGCAGAAAGGGAATGGGATGGGGGTTGGTGGTGGTGGGAACACAGGAGGGTGAGGGAACTGGGTTTGACATATAAAAACAAGCTTGTTTCAAATTTAAATAAAAAATATCATAGAGAAACAGTCTCAAAAAAATAAAATAATAAATAGGCAAACATATAGAATTGTATAATATGTATTGCTACATTTCTCTTTTCCATTCATCTCTCAAACTGGTCATTCTCTTTTAAGTCATAAATCAGACCAAAGGAAAAAATAGTAACTGGGGAGATGTCTTTCCCAAAGTAGAAAATTCTACATTATAAAGAACTCTCCACATGAGGCATTAAAGACTTCATGTACTTTTTAAGTTGGATCCTGAATCTGTATTAGAATAATAGAGTAAAATAATAGAAGCACTACTAAAGGCCATGAGCTACTCAATGGCAGAAGCAACTAATTCTAGCCAATTTCCTCAAGTGTCCTTACAATATTCTAACTATAAAGGTAATTTCTTGCCTCTTCCTAATCAGAAAATTACACAGTAGCAAGAGCTCAGCACCCTTGCTAAGCCTTTCTTGGAGTGATCTCCTTTCCTCCAGATCCTGGAGTACTTGTAATTCACCACAGGTGTCCATCTTTATGATATTCATGTTCTTCTAAAAGATACTGCATAGTTATTTAATGTTTTAGTATATTTTGTTCCATCAATTAGTCTGAATTTTATGTTCCATTTTTGTAACACTTTCCCCATTCCCTTACACATAGAAAAATAACCATGTCTATTTGTCACCTTCCTCATCTCATCTTTCCCTTCTGTTGGAAAGGCAAGGGCTGCTCCTATGCAAACTCTTCTGAAAGGGAGGAATTAACCCTGTTATCTCCTACAGAGAGAACTCTGCCAAGCAGTGAGTGGGAACTGTCAGTTTCCACAAGTCATCTCTAGTTCACCCTTTCCTGAGAAACTAGAGAAACTCGGCCATATAAAATGGTATATAAATCCAGCACTGTCATTCAATCAAAAATGCTTATATATTATGTAGCTTTGTCTGAGCTCTAAAAAAAAAAAAAAAAAAGAAAAGAAATAAAAGTTAGTCTGATGGCCAAGATTCTTTCATGAGTTGTATAAAGATAAAATTTTATAAATTAAACAAAAAACCTCAAGCCTAGTATGGTGACACAAGCCTTTAATCCCAGCTCTTGGGAGGCAGAGGCAGGTGGATCTCTACAAAGTAAGTTCCAGAACAGACACAGTAGTTATATAGAGAAACCCTGTCTCAAGAAACTAAAATAAGAAAGGAAGGAAGGAAAAAAGAAAGAAAAAAAATGATAAAGTGTTTACTTTTTAAAAAAGACTAAAAACAAGACAAATAAATGAAAAGCACCTTTAGTTGTCTGGGACTGTAGTTATTCTGGATAATTTGGAGAAATATCATCATGTATCATGAAGCTCTTTGAGGCACATAAGAACGAACAAAAATTTTTGTTCCCAAGAAGGCCACTCATTCTTAACAAGTTTCTTCAGATATTAGGACAAAATGCTGACAAATACTGCCCCTGAATCATCTCTTCATAACCATAGCAGAATTTTGTATATTAGTTACTGAAAAAAATCTAAAGTTTAAAAGGCACAGAAATGCAATGCTATAAACATTATAGCAAATCACTTCTCAAGAAACCAATCAAGAAAATGCAATAAACTCATTAAACAATAAAGAATAAACAATGATCTATAAATCAAATGTGAACACATTTAATTTCCTAGTTGCTTGTTGACTATCACCTGCTCTAGTGATTAGATAAACACAAGAATAAACTCAGTTCTGAGAAAGAAAAATAAGATGGAAGACAGGAAAAATAGTCCCAGTGAAGATGAAAAATAAGGATAAGGCACTGCACCTGAGCCATGTGCAAAGGCCAGGAAATGTGCAGCACAGATATCAGCAGGAGGGAGAGGGCAGAATATGGGAGAGCTTGGAAGTACAAGGATGGATCCACTACAGAGTCGCAATGAGGTGAAATTTAAAAATCTTCTAGGTAGAACTTTAGAGGAGGCAAGCTTAACAATAACAAATTTACAGGACTGGAAATATGTAAGTCTGGGCATGATGGCACAAGCCTTTAATTACAGCGCTCAGGAGGCAGAAGCAGGTGGATATCTGAGTTCAAAGCCAACTAGCTTAGTCTACAGAGAGTTCCAGTCCAGCCTAGACTACACAATTAGACTCTGTCTCAAAAAAATAAATAAAACTAGAACAAAAGATGTACGCAGCAGTATTCCAATTTTACAAAAGTATTGTTAGCTTTACAGCTAAAGAACAACAAAAGCCAATCCAACAGATTTTCAAAACATGTAAAGAATATTCAACTACTTACCTTTAAAGCTGTCAGTTCATCTGCCCACATTTCTACTATAGGAACAAGATGTTCAAATCCACAGTCCTGAACAGTATCTTTATTGAAGTTTTGGGCTCCTCCCTTTCTCTGCTTATAAATAATTACTGGAGCTCGAGGATTGTGGATAATTGAATTGATGTTGCACAGCACCTATAAACACAGACAGTATCTGTAGTTAAAATGTCTGAGTCTGCTACAGAGAGGTGTGGGAAAGGAGTGCACAGATGCCAACATGACATCAGGTTCAAACATTTGTAAATATTGTGGTAATGCAGTCTCACCAGCATAGATGTACAAATTCTAAAGAAAACTAAATACATTAATTTAGGTTTGAAAGCAGTTAGCATCTATTATAATCCCACAGATTAATAACCATCTAGACATCCTTATTTAAGTCTGAACATTTCCCTAATTTTGTCTCCTCATATTTAAGCTAAGTAGGGTATTAAGGAGAGCTTTCGATTTGTTTCACAATTTCAGTTGAAATTTCAAGTAAAGATAGTTACTAATTAAGCCCCACCCACTCTTTCACTCTACAGAGAAGTCCTGGCCAGCCAGTCCAGTAATTCTTAACAAATGCTATAAATCCCGAGATAGGGCTCTCTGAGAGTGTCTGCTCAGGGTTTCTAGAGCTAGGAGCAAATACTGCTCTTCTCATCTGCCCAGAACAAGCTACAGCAAACAGGTGCTGAGAATCTGACTTCTGATGCTTGTTTAGAAGTTCTTGTTTTGTATTCACTTGAGTTTATAATAGAAGTGAAATGCTAAAACACATCTAATAATATCAATTAATTGAAAAATCATAGTCTTTTCCAAGCTATGGATCAAAGCAGGAAGCAGCTTCTCCAATCAAAATGGAGAGATTTTTTTTACCTTTTAAATATGGGCTGGTCTGGGGTCTTACTTTGGTCCACAGAATTTACTAAAAAGAATGTAATGCCAGTTTGAGTCTTTGAAAAAATGTTTGCTTGTTTTGTTTTTATTTTTTCAAGACAGAATTTTTCTGTATAACAGCCCTGGCTGGCCTTGAAGTCAAAGAAATCTGCCTGCCTGTGTCTCCTTAGTGCTGAGATTAAGTGGGCACCACCATGCCGAGGCAGAGGGAAAAAATTTCTAAGTGGTCTAGATCACTGTTTACACTCTGCTGCCGCCACATGGCCAAGTCCAGGCAGAACTGCATGGGCCCATTTACTTACACAGAAATTCACTATCTGCCACAAGAAGAGTTCTAATGACACACTATCAACTTATGGCCAGTCTCTGCAGAACTACATACTGCCCAAGCATGATACTACTAAAGTTTTAGAAGTGTCTGTCACATAGCAAAGATGAACTGGGCCATATGTGAACAACACAAAGGAGAAGAAGAAAGGGGCAGCAAGAGAAACCTGCCCCTTTGTCTTATGATAGGGTAAGGATAGATTCGGGCCAACTAGAAATATTGGAAGAGAGATAAGCTTTACTTTCATGATAACAACAACAAAAACTGTCTATGGCTCTACGGCTGGAGGACCACAGCAGTCCAGCACCTAAGGGTGGGAGAAGAGTTCATAAGATGTCAGTGGTAAAATGCACTGCCCCACAAAATAAATGCTGTGTTGTTAAGCTGTGTTGTTAAAGATCCCCATTTAGGAGAAAGAAGAAAACTAAACAGATACATGTGCGCGCGCGTGCAAACACTCTCTCTCTCTCTCTCTCTCTCTCTCTCTCTCTCTCTCTCTCTCTCTCTCCATGAAAGAAAAGCAGAGGCTATATTTGGACATCAGTCCCTCCAAAGGCACCAGTGCTATAATATAGCAGCAGCACCGTCATTCTCTCTTCTCACACATCATCTACCCTATACAACCACTCCTGGAAATGCCAAACTTAGTAGGGGACCAGAAGAAATAATGGAGCAAGGAGAACACACTCCTTGACCACATGGTAGAACAGGTCAGGTATGAGCTAGAATATTTTTTGACTGAGGTTTGAATGGATTGTTTTAAATTGCCCAACTTTTCATTATAAAACATTAAAACAAGTCGGGCATGGTGTCACATGCCTTTAATCATAGTATGCCAGAGACAGAGGCAAGAGGATCTTTGGGAGTTCAAGGCTAGCTTGGCTAGCAAGTTCCAAACCAGCCAGGACTACACAGCAAGACACTGTCTCAAAATACAATTAAACCAACAACAACCAATATTTTAAACAAAAACTTTAGTATGTATGCTAAACAGTGTTTTAGGCTTTGCCAGAGAAACAACACCAACAGAAAATGCATTTGTGTGTACATATAAGTGGGCCTTGTGTAATCACTTGAAGGCTCAAATACAACACACACACATATGAGAGGGAGATCTCCATATTAAAAAAAAAAAAAGATTCACTATAAGGAACTGGCTCATGCAGTTAATAGAATCCCATGACTATCAGTTAGCAAGTTGAGAGGAGGCCCAGAATTGTAGTCCCAAAGCCCTAGAAGATTAATATTTTGGTTCAAATCAAAAGGTAGGAGAACTAACCAAAACCAAACAAGGTATCTTAAAAGCATGTATTAGAGGGGCTTGAGAGATGGCTCAGAGGTTAAGAACACTGACTGCTCTTCCAGAAGTCCTGAGTTCAATTTCCAGCAACTACATGGAAGCTCAAAACCATCTGTAATGATATCTGGTGCCCTCTTCTGGTCTGCAGGGACACATGCAGACAGAACACTGCATGCATAATAAATAAATAAATAAATCATAAAATTTTAAAAAAGCATGTATTAGAAATTCCCCCTAGGCCTTTATGTTCTGTGATTAAATGAGATCCACTTACCACAAGAGGACAATGTATTTGTCTGCTATTCACCCACAGGCACACTGTTTAATCAAGTATCTGGGCAATGTATAGCCTAGTCAAGCTGACACATAAAATTAACCACCACAAGCACTCACATAATCTCTACCTAGATACAGCACTGTTAACATTTTCCTAGCTTGGCTTACTCTGTTTGTATGGTTAGCTAAACCAAGGAAGGAAATGTAGCTATCATCTTTCTTTACCCTCAAATAGTAAAGCATGGCATCCCTTAAAAGCTGGTATAGTCTATACAATCTAGTACCACTGTCACAGTGAAAAAAGTTGACAACTCCTTAATATCACTGATATCTAAACTGAAGTTTTAACATCTTGCTGTGTATATTATTTGATTCTCCTTCTCTCTAGATGTGATGAGTACTACATTAGGTATCACCCAAAGACAGGTAAGGTAGACCACTCTTCCAACCGTGTTTTCTCCATGATTTTCCATTTTTAACTTCAGAGCCTTTTAGAAAGTATTCTAAGGAGGCACCGGGTGTTTAGATACTACCTGCCCTCCTGTCCCCACCCTTTCTTAAACAAAAATGTGCCCTGGATGGTGTTTAAAAAAACAAAACACAAATAGTAGTAATTTCCCATTTATCAACATCAAGTCTAGCCTATTTAAGAAATAATCTTCAAGCATGAATTTGAGGGCCAGTGACATGGCTTGCATACCATCAAGCTGAGTTCCATCCCCAGGACCCACATGGCCCACCCACAAGTTGTTCTCTAACCTCCACATGCATTCCTGGGACCCATGAATGCACAACTGCACATGTGCATGAATGTACATGCATGCATGCGTGCGCATGCACACACACACACACACACACACACACACACACAAAGTATGAAAAGGAGATCAGCATTTTATCTTGAATTTCTGTCCTGTGCATACTTCAAGCTGCAACTAATGGGTCTCCTGGTAACATGACTTCAGAGGTTATTTAGAAGGCTTTTCATTTTCATGAAAACATATTTTAATATTTCATTTCAATTATATATAAACTCATAATTTTAGTGGAAAATTTAATTCCCTCAGAATTTTTACTGATGGCAATTTATATTCTCCTATATGAATTAACTGCCTTTTTGATGATGGGCAGCAGAAGATAACAATGGGGAAACCATAAAGTGACTTAAAACAATCCCTGCAGAGATAAGAATTTTTAAAAGAGAAGCAGTAATTTCTTATCATTCAGAGAGTTCACTGACACTGATAAACTCCTGTGGTGGTGGTGGTGTTTAAAGCATTCTAAAAGTAATCACAGAACAGGAAAAGCTAAGATGAATTAAGTTAACTAGGATATTTTTTTAAAGGACAAGAAAAGGGGAGAGTGGTACAAGCCTTTAATCCCAGCACTCAGGAGGCAGAGGTAAGTGGATCTATGAGTTCAAGGCCAGCCTTATCTACATAGTGAGACCTTGTCTCCAAAAACAAAACAAAATTAATTAAAAAGGATAAAGAAACATCTATCAATCTAGCAAATGTCAGAAAAAGAAAAGAAAGCCAAAGAGTAGAGCAGGAAACCAAGTATCTGAAAAGCAGTAAGATGCCAACAGTAAGAGTGAAATAAAAGCTGCTCTCTACACTCACAGGCTCTCAGACTAAGCACATGAGAGCAAATGGAAAAGCCCGCATTACATACTCACAGAGACACAGCTAAAAGAAAATTCTCACAAAATTGACTGGATCTTTATTCACAACAGCAATCAAAGTCATTAAATACCTAGAAAATAAACCTGACAAGAAATACACCTGAACTAATTTTTAAAATATATAAAACTTTATGGAAGGCCATAAAAGACCTCCCAAATTAGAGATGTTTCTGAATGAGATGACTTAAATTTGTAAATTAACATTTCTCCAAAAATTAATAAAATCAATTATATTTCAATTCATCCTAATAGGATTTTGTTTTTAGTAAGTACTCACCCAGAAGAGCAAATGTGCTCAAATATATCCAAGCAAGAAATTTTAAATGTACTCAAATAGTATGAAGATCAACTGTAAAAGCTGCAGGAGAGCTTGGAATAGTAAAAGAATGGAACAGACTACAGAATCTAGAAAGAAATTGATACATAAACAGAAAATGATATACACAGAAATCAGTGAGGGGGAAAAGTTGAACAGAGACAAGGACGTGGGACCGCAGTTAGTCAAAGGGCACGTGCTCACAGCTGACAAGGGAAGCATGTGACTCTGCTCCCATAACTGACATGAAGAAATTAAAGGACTTCAACCCTACATTCTCTTCGTGTTTAAAATGTTAGTAATTAAATTGAAATTTAAAGCCTATGGCCAAGTATGGTGGTGAACACCTTTAACCTCAGCATTTGGGAGGTAGAGGAAGAAGGATCTCTGTGAGTTTGAGGCCAGCCTGGTCTACATAGCAAGTTTCAGGACATCCCAGAACCTTTCTAAATGGCTGGAGATCACATGTTCAAACACGTGAACATATAGGGGGTTTTCACATTCAAGTCACAACACAATACCATTATATAATTTAGGCATCCACAAGTACCACAGAACCAAGCCCCCACAGATACCTAGAGCTGTCTCTATAAGCATTCCTTACCAAGTGACAACAAATTACACTGAATTAAAACCAAGGATCCTCACAAACTCCAGTCTTTGCATCAGCTGTTCAATACCTGAAAGTATCTCTGGTCAATTAGAGCCTGTTGATGGCTGTCTTTGCTGGGCTCACCCGTTTTCTCCATTTCATCAGTCTTTTTTTGACCAATAAGCTCTTGTAATCTAAAGGAGGGGGGAAACGTCAACAAAAAAATGCTTTCTTAGGTAGAAGATTAAAATAATTAGTCAATGATCCAGTTGGGCTCCCCGCAAAACCTTATCTCTTTTTACTTATATATGTGCATGCACACATGTGCAAACTTTAAGTATGCAGCAAGCCATATTGTCCCTGGAAAAGTTTTTTCCAATACATCACAAGTTAGAAGTCATCTCTAAACATGAGGGCTTTCTTAGACCAGAGGCATCCATCTGGGCCCAGGGCAGAGTAAGAAGAAAGGTGTTTTTTCTCTGAGGAATGCTCCCATTTACTGGATAGGGTCAGATGGATTTGACAACATGCAAGTTCATATCAAGTTCTCCCCTACTGTGCTTCCTAGAAAACAGGATAAAACTGACCCTCAGAGTCATAAGGAAAAGGTTCTTTTTCCCCTATCCAGGCCTGGCCAGAATACCCACTAAGTAACTGGAAATCCTGGCCTCCAGAAGCAATTTAAACTACAATATCATCACCCCGCTCAACCTGCTTTGCAAGCAAGAGGGAAAGTGGACTGAGAACCAGTATGTTCAATTGTCCTTTTACTTGAAGGATCACTCTGGATTGTCCTGATTACATAAGATGTACCCCTATACTCTGGCTGTATATGATCTAGTCCAAAATGGAGCCAGAGGGAAAGGAACAGGTCTTAACCTCCTACAAAGTATCCAAATCCCCAAATTCATGAAATGCCGAACATGATTGTTTCTACCCCTTTAAGTCTTCTGGCTACTCATGCCAATCTGCAGTCCTTTAGAAAGAGCAGAGCCCTTCCCAGTATGAAACACTGTCCCTGGATGTCCAGCCACAGAACATTATCCTCTTTTCTTCCATAAAACATTTTCAATTAGGCAGATCTCCAGAGGTGAATCTGGGACAACCTATGTGCACGACTCTATTTCTCTGAACTAAAATAGAGACCTTGGAAGCTTTATTGATAGCCCAATTCCTTTATTGATGTCCAAACCTTTTGAGAGTAAGCCAACTTTATGATTTCACATGCTTTGTTAGAACAAACTCTAACATTTCTAGAGAGATAAGGAATAGATTAGGACATCCATTATGGAAATGACTTTTATACTTCCAGGGAAAAGACTTCCCACTGGTAAAGAGGAAGTTCTAATCCAATCCTAAATTCAATCCAGAGGATCAGAGAAGTGGATGGATTTAGGGTACTTCTTTACTGCAGCCTAGAAGGTCTCAGTCAGCAATTAAGCCCTTAAACGATGCCCAACTGACTACAGTGGGTTAAAAGGTAAGGAGACTCCCATGATGCGTTTCCAAAGATATCAAGAGGCTCTAAAATATATACTAATATAGAACCAGGGTCACAGGAAGAGATTATCCAACATGATAAATGCCTGACTTGATTAGCCTTATATATAACTCCAAAAATTGGTGATTGAACCAGGCAAGCCATTGGATAATTCAATCCAAACTCTTACACTGATCTTTTATAAATGGAACCAGGAGGATAGACAAAAGGATAAATGTCATGGAAACTGCTGATAGCCACACAGGAAACACAACTAGGATTGTAGGAATGTATCTCTTATGGAGGCAGGAAGGCTATTTGAGGTAAGACTCCCTCTTTGTAAGGGTGATCTCTAGAAGATTAGATGTCCTCCCAATCAATGAGGATCAACCCAGCTTGAGGAATCCTGAGAAGTCTTTACAATGGAGGAAAGTCAAATCAATTCCCTCATCAATTCTTAGTCCTCTCATTCTCCCATCTCTGACCCCCTCCAAAGGCTATCATCTTGGGCCCATTGAGCCAGCCCCTGGAGAGGACCATCTAGCCAAAGGGAATAGGGGAGCAAATTCAGAAACTTGAGAAAGCTACACTAAGTCATAGGAAATGCCCTGTTCTTGGGGAGGAATCCTTACTACCCCTGAAAGATCCAAATATTTCACCAAGAAAATAGCCTTTGATTGTCATTTTGACTAAAAATGGTGGCTCTCTTTCACTAGTTGCTATTACCAGAATCTCTTCCACAGAAAGTTTAAACATCCTTTTAGCAAATGTTATCACTTTGGAAGGAAAACACTTTTCTAGCCAGAAGGTATTTTAGGCTAAGGTCTCAAGGAGGTAATCCAATAGGTGGCACAAAGATGTGAAATATGCCAAAAGATTAACCCACCAAACAGGCACTTTCAGATCCAAAGACAATGACTTTATCTAGGAGGAGACTAGTAATTTTACTTCATTCAAAGGTTAGGAAGGCCTAATTCTATGTTCTTTTAGTTTTAGTGGGCTGGATAGGCTTTTCCACTCAAAACACAGAGGACATCAGACAGGGCTAAGATTTTACTTACAGAAATAATCCCTTGATTTAAACTTTCTAAATGCCTCCAAGTGACAACAGATCTGCCTTTGGGGCAGAAGTCACTGAAAGCCTGACTTAAAACTTTAAGAACTCAGTTTCACCTACATTGTCAGTCTTCAACTGACAGGCAAGCTGGAGAGGACTTTAAAGAGGCATTTATTTAAAGGAACTTAGACTAAATTACCCCTAGCTTTAGTCAGGCTTAGAAACACCCCTCACTATCAAGGCCTAACCCTCTTTGAGGCAATACATGGCAGGCCATTTCTTACCAGTGATTTGGTGCTGACCCAGAAATGGCCAGGCTAATTTCCCATATTATCCAATTAGCAAAATTCAAGAAAACACTGTCAAGAACTTCAAGCTAGGTTTTCTTGAAACAGAGATTCCTCGTCTTCTACCCTGGAGTCTTAGTTAAATCAGAATGGATGCCTTGCTCACACACTATTAGAGAGCCCATATCCTATTATTCTATCCTCACCTACAGCAGCATGGACAGGACTGGATGGATGGGTCCATCACACTGCTTCTCCTGATACTCCTATCAGCAGATCCTGAGACCAAAACCAACTCATTCCAGCTACTCTTGTGAGCCACTGGGGACCTCAAGTTGTTCTTCAAACAACACCTTCCCACTAAAGATAAGTTCGTCTGAGTGCAAAGCAGCAGCATGCATAGGCCCCCTCTGGGGGGACCCTGACTGCTGTTTTATAACTCTGCCCATTCTGTCAGCAGAAAGCAGCAAAGTGCAACTAACCTATCATTGGCCCAATCCCTTGATAGCAGCTGGAGTTATCTTCTGGGAGGGAATAATGAAAGAGAGTTGAGTTCCCTTGTAGGTAATAGTGAGGGAAGAGGAGCCCTGGATAATGTTAAGTTGGTACATCCTAAAGTGGATGTTGGACACCATAGGGGAGGGGACACAGCAAAAAACTAACTTTTCTATTGCAGCATGACTCACATCAGAGAACAGTTACTTGTGAAGACATGTGCAGAGAGTATAAGGCACATGGACAATGACTCAATACCTCATGGATCCAGAGTCCCAACTAATAGAAGCCCATCATCCAATCCCTGATCTGAAAAACTTCTTGTGTTGTCAGAGACTTCCAGTCAAACTGGTAATGGAAGTGCTAATTGACTCAATTAAAAAAAAAAATGCTGCCCAAAGATAACCTGCAGACCCCAGACTCCAGGACCTCTCCTTTTCAAGAGTCTGTCTTCAACTGCTACTTTTGCTTTGATTAAAACATTAGCACCGCTAAACTTTGAATCCTTTACTGCCTTTTAATTATTTAATTGGTAGGAAAAGAACTAGACTGCTATACACCCTAATAAGATTTGTGGTGCTTCTGTCCATTGAACCATCTACTAGCCCTTATCACCATTATTATTGTATTTATGCTAAATTGAAATTGTCTTAGCTATTCTTTCATGATCCTCCTCCCTTCATGCCATCTCTATGAGGTCAGGAACCTTTCCTATTTGGCTTATCACTACAACCCCAGTGTCTAGAATGCCACATAGATACTAGGAAGTACTACTGGGAAGCCAGATAGCCCAGCAATAGGAGAAAGGGATGTTCACTGATTAAATGCAACCTTTCCAAACCTTCCCCTAAATTTCTCCATTTAGTTTTTCTCTCCAACCTTATGTAAGAAGACAAACAATGAATGCCTCCTTGTCCTTATTTGCCTTTTCACTGTGACAGTGGTACCATGGGGAGGAGAAAGAGCAACTATCACTGAAAACTGAAACAATATACACTAATAACACAAAGGAATTAACATAGCTAAGGCATACACTGTTTTCAAAATGATTCACTCCAAGCTTTACAAATTACTTTCTCAAGCCCTAGTCTTTTGAATCAAAGAACACATATAGATAATCTTAAGGAAGTATGTGAAATCATTTCTCAAAGCATGGGTAGGAGTTAAAGTAGTAGATAGAACTGGCTCACTGTATTTTCTGGCACTTTTAGGCTTTAAGTAATAAAACTTACTAAAATTTTCAGATCATCAGTGGTACAACATTTACCCTAGCATGCTCAAGACCCTAAGTTCAGTATTTAGCACCAAAATTAACATAAAAATTTTCAGATCATGACTAGCTACCATAAAAATATAGACTCTGCTATCTGCAATTTCATTGTTTCTCTTGCAATTCTTCTATTTCTAGAGATAATTTTCTATTTAAATCTTATCTTTTCTTCCTACTTTTATTTCTTTATTCAATTGAAATAAATATAACGCCAACCCCAGGGCCAGAAAGACAAATTTTATATGTTCTGTTTCATATGCAATTCCTAATTTCAAATCTTTTGTGTATTTAACTTGGAACACAAGTGGAAGCCAGAAAACTAGAAAGATGCCTTATGAAGGTAACACATTAAAGGAAAGAGGACAGTAAATCACAGGTGAAATGAAAGTAGAGATGTGGACTAACAGGGCATACAGGCTTAATCAGGGAGGGGAGGGGCACGTAGTATGAGAGTACCAAAGGGGCAGCGAGGAAGGCTGACTGACCCAAGGACAGGTTACATGAAAAGCCACATGGAAGTCTACTATCTCACAACCTGGTTCTTAAAATTGGAGGGAAAGAAGAATTATATATGAATAAGAGAAGAGGAATTACTGAGTGTTAAGGGGTCAGGTGGGGTGGGTGGGGTTAAAGAAAAAACTTATTAACTAATAAACTAAAGCTGTATGGAAAAGCCTTATGGAAGTGCACTGGTTTGAGATTACAACTGAAAGATATTTTTAATGAAAATAGCCTGCATGGGTGGACAATGCCACTCCTAGAATACATGGATGCAAGACATGGGATACTTTCTAGGAATTAATGGTCAAGGAGCCCCCAGAGATCTTCAGAACAACACAGGCTATTCTCAAAGCCCCAGGTTACCCACTAAACTATTTGGCAAGACTCTATAAACCCTATTGCTGAAGACATAAAACACTTTGGCTGAAGGACATACATACAGAAATAGATCTCAAACCAGCCAGGAAACTTCCTAATGCTGGCCAGCTTTCATAGTGCTAGAGGTGTTATTAGACTTCTGAAGAAGAAAAGACATCAATGGTCTAACCAGTGCTGGACCCTGAATGCTGCAGCACTGACCTACCAGGCAAGATAAGCCTGCTGGTCCAACAGTGGCATGGGATAACAGCTTTGTGGTTGGATTTGAGAACTGTTCCACAAGAGAGAACTTCATGCCTGGTCCTTTAGTCATTGGCAAAAGCCCATGACTCAGGAGTCTTAGGCCTTAGGGTAGAATCTGCCATTGTTATTTTGATAAAAATGTTGTCTAAATGTCTGTTTGCATCTACAAACCTGGATGCTCTCAGTTTTGATTAAAGTAGTTTCTTTTGGCAGTGGGCAGCAGTCAATGGAGAGAAACACACTTGGTCACAGTGCTGAGAAGGGGCTAAATGCTCAGCCCTATCACCCCCCACACTCCAGGACCAAGGCAGAAAGAACAGAAGAACCAGGAGATGATGGAGGGTGCTGTGAAACTGTCTTCAGGACATAATTGCCACAATCATGAACCCACAGCACTGTGGTTACAAAATTAAGGCAGACAAGATTCCAGCATAGACCATCCAGGTCCCACTCTCTCTACCACACTGGTAGTTAAGTTTCTGGGGGAGAAAAATCATTCCTTTTGAGGATGTGGACACCAACAAGATCCCCATGCTTCAGTGGACAATCCAGATCCATGCACATATGGGTAGTACCAACTAGACTTAGAGGTTATTTAAAAAAAAAAAAAGCACCAAATTAGTTGGGGGACAGATTAAGGAGAAGGGAGTTACAGAGGAGAAATGATGTAAATGATCATATTTCATCATCTGAATGCATGAGATACTCAAGGCTATATAAAATAAAAAATAAAGTCAAATCCAAATTGCTTTTAAACTGTTAGAATCAGAAATATCCCTTTTTATTGTCTTTGTTTTTTTGAGACAAAGCTGTACATATGCCCAGCCTAGCCTCATATTTGTGATTCTCCTGCCCATCCTCCACAATGCTAGGATTTATAGGTTCATGCTAGCATATCTGCATCAAAATACCTGTCATGTCACATCTCTCATCAGCCTAGCAATTCCAAACCAAGCTTGCTGTATTATAACACACAACAGCTGATAGATATAAAAACAAATAATAAAACATAGGACCCAACTATAATCTGTAACTTTGACAAAATGTAATTACTTGATGCTTTTCTTAAGGGCTTTTTCCAGTTTCTTCACCTGTTGTTTATAAAGTCTTAATTCATGTTCTGTGGGCCTATAAAAAAGAAATCATGATGAATACATTACATTTATCAAAAATGACAAAATTATATCTTGTATTATCAATAAACATTAAAATTATTTTTCAATTAACTTCTATGTGCATGGGTATTTTGCTTGCATATATATGTGTGTGTGTGTGTTAGTGCCTGTAGATGCTAGAAAGCAGCACTGGATCCCCTGGAACTGGAGTCTAGATAGTTGTGAGCTACCATGTGGGTTCTGGGAATCAAACCCTGGTCCTCTGGAAAGTAGGCAACATTCTTACCTGCTGAGCCATCTCCCTTACTAAAATCTTAATTCTTAGGTGTTTACTAGGCATTTGATATATTCTGTATAATTTCTTATTTAAAGTCTTTATTCTCTTTTGTACTATTATGTAATCTGTTTCTGGTGAATACACCATCCTCTGTAATGGATATTTTTTTTTTGTCAACTTGACACAAATTTAGATATACTGGGAAAGTAGAATCTTAAATGAGGGAAATGACACATTAAAATTGGCCTGTGAGCAAGGCTTTAGAGTACTGTCTTGGTTAACGATTGATATGACAGGGCCCAGCCCACATCTGGGCCTAAGGTCCTTGATGGTATAGAAGACAGTCTAAGCAAGCCATGAGGAAGTACATCACTCCGTAGCCTCTACTTCAGTCCCTACCCCAAGGTTCCTGCCCTGACTCCCCTGGATGATGGACTATGTGAAATGAAACTAACCCTTTCTTCCCAAAGTTGCTTTTGGCCATTGAAAAACCCTAGTTAAGACATCCTCATTAGTATCATTCCTGTTTCTCTCATGTCACGAGTAACTACTGTCCTAAATCTATAGTTCATTATTCCCAAACATGCGTTAAATTCTTATTTTTGAGACAGGTTCTTTCATTGGACTGAAGAGTTCATCAAGTGTCTATGTTGGCTGGCCAGCCAATGAGCTCCAGGAATCTGCCAGTCACACCTCCTCCCGATGCTGCAGTTACAGGTACACTCTGCCACAACTGGCTTGACTTTTTACATAAGTGCTGGGGATCTGAACTCAAGTCCTCACATGCTTGCACAGCAGGCAGTTTTCCAAAGGAGCCAATTCTCCAGCCCTCGCTGTAGTTAATTTTAAAAGGAAAACAAAACAAAGACTGAACCTGGGCTTAGGGAGACAGCTAAGTCTGGTAAAGTGCTTGGCATGCAAACATGAAGACCGGAGTTCAAGACCAAGAACCACTTACTATCCCAGCACTGGGAAGTGGGTGCTGAGGACAGGTAGATCCCTCAGGCTCACTGGTGAGGCAGCCTAATTGGCATGCTCCAGGCAGGTCTCAAGGAGAGATCCTGTCTCACAAAACAAGGTGGACCCACCCAAGGAACAGCATCTGAGGCCGATTCTTGTTTCCATATGCATGAGCACAGATGCACACACACATATCTGTACCCACACATATAAGCACACAAGCATAAGAAAACTCTGAATCTCCTTGAAGTTCTTACCTAGTTTTATCATCAACATGAATTCCTATTTTCTCATTTCCCTTGTTTGCCTAAGGATTGTTATTATTTGCCATGAAATACAACCTACCAAAAGGAATATAAGAGTGTCAAGAATGATTTATCTAACATTCTAAAAGGTAAAGAAAAATTAAGTTTCCCCCACCTGTTCTCCAGATCTTTTTGGAGGTTCAACTTTTCACCTAACAGTACATCAATCTTGGATTTCGATTCCTTGAGTTGATTCTGTAACGACTGCAATGCATTTCACAGTAAAATAAGTAACCCTCCTAGGGGATTATTTTGCTTTATAAAAAGGTATTTAGCAGTTCTCTGGTCTCCATACCATCAGAAGGCCTTTATAACTTGGTGAGGCATCCAGGTTTCTGTAGTCTTTTTCTTCTTCTGACTGACTGTCGTCTTCTTTACCCTTCCTGAAGGGAGACAAACATATCTTATATATCCTTAAAGAAAATATTCAGCTAGCAAAAATTAAGCCAATCTAATAAGGGCTTAAAAATTTAAACATGACAAATGTACCTCTCAATAGGGTTTTTTTCTTTTTTTAATATTTTCTTAATTTGTGGGTCATGTTGGCAACAGTATTTTCTAAGTACCTTTTGAAATTATGTTCAGGGGTCTTTTCCTTAGAACACTTCTGGGCTCTACTTAGACCAAGAGCACAAGAGTATGTACGGGAGCCCTGGGTAGTGTAAACACTCATTGGCACTCACACCCCTCACCAGGTGCTTAACTTTTACATGCCCCAGGGTTTCCCTGATCATAAATACTATTATAAAAGTAAAAACAGAACCTTAAAGAAAATACTGACAACTCTTAAGACCTCAATGCAGTGAAGGGCAGAGTCTGATACATTTGTTATAATTTTAAAATATTCTCTAGTCCTTTCTATTTGATTTTTTTGTTATTGCTAACTACTATTTAATAAAAAGTTGTCATGAGTCAAATTATAAAAAAAAATTTAAACATGAATTTAAAAAATCCCAATTTCCTACTTGTTCTACAGAGAGTAGTATCACAGCACTACCTAATCTTAGAGTGTTCTATTTACTATTTTACTTAGAATGTATAAGGACCAGAAAACTTGGGTCATGGGATGTAGAGGAAATAAAAACTACTTCTTAAATGAACAAACAAAACACAAATAGAACATTCCTGGTCTTAAAAAAATACACCATGTACATATTATTCCTCCTAGTACTTTCAATTCATAAAAAAATCAAGAAAAAGTGTTAAGTGTAACAATACATAGTGCATAGCACACCTCACCTACCCTGCTTCAGACTTCTCTGATTAATTTTAAGTACTTAAAATTCCTTAATACATTCACTCTTCCTGCTGTGTACTCATTCATCTAAGTGAGAAATCCTTTACCTTATCTGGCTTGGAAACTCTGCCACACACACACACTCCCACCTGACTCACAATTAGAGTACATAGCATTATGTCTTGCATTTACTTACATGAGTACTGATACACATATTCCCAAATACACTATCAGGACAGGGTCTCATTCGAATTCAAGCCAGCTGGGGATTCACTATGTAGCCCAGGCTGGCTTCAAACCTGTGGCTATCCTCTTTCCTTCACTTCCTCAATGTTCCAACCTCTACCTCAGGATACAGGGAGCTAGGAATACAGGCATGAACTACCACACCTGCTATATGACAATTTTTCACTGACATTCTATCTTTGGCATATTTAAACTTGCATAACATTGCCCCATATACTTTATGACTATACTTACCATCCAGTGGCTAAATAACATAATGCTTCAACAAAATAGAAAGGAAATAACTGGTTAGGTATTGTTTACCTAACCAGTAAAATATAGTCTTAATAGATGTTGATTAAAAGAATTTCAACATGTCAGGCAGTGGTGGTACACGCCTTTAGTCCCAGCACTCGGAAGGCAGAGGCAGGCAGGCAGATCTTTGTGAGTTCGAGGCCAGCCTGGTCTACAACAGCTAGTTCCAGGACAGCTTCCAAAGCCACAGAGAAACCCTGTCTCAAAACACACACACACACACACACACACACACACACACACACACACACACACACAAGATTTTCAACATGAAGTTGTGAGGAAGATGTGAGGAGGAACCAAAATTTGTTGGGAAGAAATGGAGGGTAAATATTTCCAAAATATACCATAAAAAAAAAAACCCACTGTATAATGTGGTTGTTTGAAAGAAAATGGCCCTCAAAAGAAGCAGCACTTGTTGTAGCCTTGATGGAATAGGTGTGACCTTGTTGGAGGAAGTGATCACTGTGGGGATGAGACTTTGAGTTTTCCTATGCTCAAGATACTCCAGTGTCACAGTCTATTTCCTTTCCTGTTATCTTCTGACCAAGATGTAGCCAGCACCATGTCTGCCTGCATACCACCATGCTCCCCACCATGATAATAATGGACTGAACCTCTGAAACTGTAAGCAAGCCACCCCAGTTAAATGTTTTCCTTTATATTAGTTGCCATAGTCATGATGTCTCTTCACAAAAACAGAAACCCTGAGTATGCATGTATGATAAAAATACTATATTTGAAAAAGAATTTCATAATAATATACATACTTTCAGAACATAAAGTCTCAAAAGCTGCAGAAACTTAATTTGTTTCTAGATAATACTCATCCTAGATTACTTTAAAATTATATTATTTGCCAGGTGGTGGTGGCACATGCCTTTAATCCCAGCACTTGGGAGGCAGAAGCAGGCAGATATCTGTGAGTTAGAGCCCAGCCTGGTCTACAGAGTGAGTTCAGGACAGGTTCCCAAGCTACACAGAGAAACTGTCTCGAAAAACCAAAAGAAAAATTGTATTACTTATACCTTTGTGTATGAAGTTTTCGAAGTTTAGATTCATAGTAATCAATTAGACAAAGCAATCTAGAAAACAAAAAATATGTTAATTATTTCAAAAGGTAGTATCTACTATTCTTTTACATAATTTCTAATTCTAATGAAAAAGTAAGCACATGCTGGGAATAGAGAGATAGCTTAGCAGTTAAGAGCACATACTGCAGGGCTGAAGAGATTGCAGTTAAGAGCAATGGCTGCTCTTGGACCCAGGTTTGATTTCCAGTACCTAAATGGTGGCTTACAATCATCCAAAACTCTGTTCTAGGAGATCAAACATTTTCTTACATCCTCCACAGGCACCAGGCTCACATGTGGTAAATACACACACATATAGGCAAATCACTCACACACAGAAACATTTTAAAGATTAGCCAGGTAGTGGTGGCACACGCCTTTAACCCCAGGACTTGGAAGGCAGAGGCAGGTGGATCTATGTGAATTTGAGGCCAACCTGATCTACAGAGTGACTACCAGGGCAGCAAATACTACAATAGAGAAACCCTGTCTCAGAAAAAAAAAAAAAAGATTTATTTATGTGTGTGTGTGTGTACACAATTTATGTTCAAGTGCCAATCTGATCCCTGGAGCTAGATGGTTATGAACCACCATGTGGGTGATGTAAATAGAACCCAGGTTCTCTGCAAGAACAGTAAGCACTCCCAACCTCTGAGCCATCCCTCCAGCCCTAAAAAAAAAAAAAAGTGAATACTGCTCTTGCAGAGGAGCCAAGTTCAGTTCCCAGCACTTTCTATAACTCCAGCTTCAGAGGCTTCCTGTCTTTGGCAGTACCTGAACTCACAAGCACATAAACCCACATATGCATAAGCACATTATTAAAAATAAAATCCTTTAAAAAAAAAGTAAGTACAGATTGCAGATAGTCTGGCAAACTTAAAAATTTTTTTCAATCATTTTTGCCAGAACACAAGCATTACACATACACACACACACACACACACACACACACACACACACACACACAAAACTCATGGTCTTGTTTAATTAGGTTTTGTTTTTTGAGACAGAGTCTCATTATAATGGCTCTGAACGGCCTAGAACTCAAAGATCTACCTGCCTCTGCCTCTCAAGTTGGGATTAAAGGCATATGTCACATTCCCATTCATGGTTAATATTTTTTAAAATAAATGTGTAAACTCATTCGTCAGGAAGCTGGAGAGATGGTTCAGTGGTTAAAATCACTGGTTGGTCTTTCAGAGGACACTGGTTTGATTCTCAGCACCCACATGATGGCTCACAGATGCTGTAACTCCAGCTCCAGGGCTGTCTGGCACCTTCTCTTCTGCACTATAGATAGGGCACCATATCAGCACCAGGAACATATGTGGTGCACATATATACAGGTAGGCACAACACCCAAACACATAAAATAAATTTTAAAGTTTAGGGCTCAGTGGTTAAGAGCACATACTGCTCTTCCTGAGGACCTGAGTTCATTCCTAGCACCCACATCAGTGACTTACAACTGCCTGTAACCCAGCAGGATCTCACATCTCTGACCTCTGTGGGCACTTGTATTCAAATGCACATACTCACACCCCACTGCCACATAATTAAAATAATAAAATATTTAAAATAAAAAAAGATTTAAGGTTAGCCAGGCAGTGGTGTTACATGTCTTTAATCCCAGCACTCAAGAGACAGAGGCAGGTGGATCTCTGTGAGTTTGAGGCCAGCCTGGTCTACAGAGTTCCAAGACAGCCAGGACAGTCACACAGAGAAACCCTGTCATGAAATAAATAAATAAATAGATTCCTCAGAATACTCTAAGAAAAATTAACTTACACACACACACACACACGCACGCACGCACGCACGCACGCACGCACGCACGCATGCACACAATGAACTGGGGAAAAGAGACAAAAGGAGATTTCTCTAGCAAAAGATATAACCACTGTCAAGACAAAATCAGCTGAAAAATAATCAGTTCCATTATCCTAGTTCCATTATCACCCTATGTACTAGGCATTACTGTTTATCCAGGACTGAATGAGGAACTCTCTTGCAGAGATAGGCAAACACTCTGTTTTGAGTGACAATACGCTCTTCTTCCTCCTTGGTTAATCTGTAGATATCCTTTTGCAAAGAAGCAATGGTCTCTTCTTGCTCCATTCGTTTTTTCTTATAATGCTGGCATTTCATCTGTAGAAAATTGTAAATCCATAGTATATTTATTACATGTAGGACATACTTCTCTATTAATACCCATGTCACCATCTCCACCCAGCTGCTTCATTCAATAATCTCATCAAGGCTGTTTAAAAACTGATGCAAGGAATATTAATATTTCACAAAAGTGAAAATGAAGAAACTTTGACAATTACATGCATTCAAGATTTCATAAGTATTTTTAAGAATCTCTATAAAGCCATTATATAAATTATTATATAATTATATATTATATATAATTATATTATATATTATATAATAATATATATAATATATAATAATGTAATTATATTATTATATAAATATAATTTTATATTTCAATGGTTTTTGAAACCAGGTTTCTACATAGTCCAGGCTGGCTTCCAGCTTGAAATTCTATTTTATCAGCCACCTAATTGTTGGAGTTACAGGTGTGTACTATCATGCCTACCTTATATCTAAGTTGAGATAAAACTAATAGGAAGAGAATTATATATTAAAGTCTTTTAAAAGAACCACACAACAGCTGGGTGGTGGTGGTGCATACCTTTAATTACAGCACTCAGAAGGCAGAAACAGGTGAATCTCTCTGAGTTCAAGGTCAGCAGCCTGATCTACAGAGTGAGTTCTGGGATAACAAGGACTATTACATAGCAAAAACCCTGTCTCAAAATACCAGAGAGAAAGAGAACCACAAATGAAAATTAAGGGTTTTTTTTTTTTTTTTAATGATTTATGGATTGCAAATGATACAATCAGTTTGGACATCCAGGAAATGGAAGAGACTATAAATTCAGGATGGGTCCATAACCAGTATGTGCCTTAGAATTATTTAAAAAAAAAAAAGGTCTCACTTTAAAAATATAACATTCATAGCTAAGCACATGGCCATCGTCAAAGGGGAAATAGTCTTAGTTTCCAGTAACATCCCATCTCCTAGGGAACATGAAATATGCAGTAACCCACCCTCTGCCTTGGCCTTCCATGAAACTAGGCACAACTTTTTTACAGCTAAGTGATGAGGATGCCAGTCTCCCCTCATTATGTAAGTTAGCCAAAACCTAGAATTATTGAGGTTGACATTTTTCTTGGAATATATTCATTACACAGTGATTAGATTCACAAGAACATTTTTGTATACCACATATTTTGACCATGCTCTCACCTCTGTATCTTTGTTTTTCCTCTTCCCCAGTTTTTTATTCCCCCAGTCTGGCTTCAACTTTCAAAATGCATGCGCGCGCGCGCGCACACACGCACACACACACACACACACTTTTAGTTCTCTCATCTCTTGGACACTTTGACTGATTCCATAACTTGACTATGAATCCTACTGCAGTAAGTAAGCATAGATGTGCAAGTGTCTCTGGAGTATATACCCAGGAAGAGTAGAACTGGGTCATAAGGTAGTTCTAGTTTCAGTTTTTTGAGGAAACCTCCATAGTGGCTAGACTAATTATACTCCCTTCAGTATGGGTTCTCTTTATTTCCAAAATCCTTATCATTTGTTGTTACATTTTATCTTAATGATAAGCATTGTGACTAAGGTGAGACAGAATCTCAATGTAGTTTTAATTCACATTCTCCTGCTTGCTAAGGGTGTTGACCACTATTTGTCTATTTATGAGTCACTGGTACTTCAATCTTTTGAGAACAGTCTTTTCATTTAATTAGACTGTTTATCAACTGATTTATTAGGATTTTTGAGCTTGATTTTTGTTTTGCTTTTCTGAGACATGATCTCACTATGTAGCCTTAGTTAACCTGGAACTCACAGAGATCCTCCTGCCTCTGCCTGTTGAATGCTGGGATTAAAGACATTTGACACCATTCTTTCCTGAGTCCTTATATATTCCAGATATTTTCTCTCCTTCTACTGGTTGTCTTTTAACCCTGTTGGTTGGTTCCTTTCTTGTGTAGAAGCTTTTAAAATTCATGCAATCCTACTTGTCAATTCTTGCTATTACTTCCTAAGTGATTGGAGTCCTTTTCAGAAAGTTTCTGCCTATGTCTATACTTCTAAGAGGTTTCTTTTTTTCTAACAGTTACAATTTAGAATCCTGAAGTCTTTGGTTCATTTTGAATTGATTTTTGTATGAGCTAAGAGATAAGGATCTATTTTCATTCTTCTACATATGGATATCATGTTTCCCTATACTATGTTGAAGACACTGTCTCTTTTCTGATGTATGTAAAGCCATAATTCAAATGGGTATATGATAAGTGTTTATTTTCTGGGCTGTCTATTATATTTCCCTGACACACTTATTTTTGTGACAGTATCAAACTGTTTTTGTTACTATAGTTATGAAATCAGGATAATACTATCACCAGCATTATTAATTTTGCAGAATTGCTTCCACTATCAAGGGCCTTTTGAGCTATTGTATGCATAGTAAGACTGTTTATTCAATTCTGTGAAGACAGTCATTAGATTTTGATGGCGATATAGAAACTGCTTTGGTAATATAGCCACTTTCTAGTTCTGATAATCCATAAACTGAACAGAAAGTCTTTCCATCATCTAGAGTATTCTTCAATTTCTTTTTTCAGTGTTTTATTTTTCATTACATGGCTGAGGAGAGGGCTTAGTGGTATTTACCAAACAAGCAGAAGGACCTGCATTTTGAGTCCCCAAGCCCACATAGAGCCTGGCACAGCAGCACCTCATCTATACTTCAGCCATTTGTATGGCAAAATAACAGAAACAGAAGAATCTCCAGAGGCTCTGTACAGAATTCATTACTATCTGCTCACACGGCTTATTAGAGTACAAAGTAATATAACCACATAAGAGAAATATAGTATCTATGCAGGCCACTTAAACCTCTATATAGGGCATTGAGATCCATAATGAGAACTATGATCTCTATCATGGATTCAATAAATTTCCAATTTGAGCTTTCACAGGTGAAAAATCTTCTATTCATGAGGATTAAGAGTCCACATAAGGCATGATGAGCTCTGTATAGGACACTGTGAGCTCTAAACAGGGCAGCATGTGATGTGCCCAGAGCACTGCAACTTATATGTAAGACACCATGAATTTTATGAAGGCATACAACCTCTATAAAGTACCCTATGAGAGGAACATACATGCAATAGGAGACTTCTGTAAGCACTGCGTGCTGCATGTAGGTGCACTATAAGACACAGAGGAGACTGTGAAGTCTGTACAGAAGGGTATAAGCTTGCATAAATATGCATTATTATCTATACTACTTACCCTATACCCTATACCCTATAACCACTTACCCTAACCCTAACCCAATAAAGCCCAGGGCCAGATGGCTTCAGTGCAGAACTCTACCAGAAATTCAAGGAAGAGCTAATACCAATACTCCTAAAATTGTTCCACACAATAGAAACAGAAGATTCATTAAACTCTTTTTTCAAGGCCACAATTGCATTGGTACCCGAGCCACACAAAGACACAACTAAGAAAGAAAACTAGAGACCAATATCCCTCATGAACATTGGTGCAAAAAAAATACTCAATAAAATACTGGTAAACTGAATCCAAGAACACATCAGTATGAGCTCTAAATCATGAGCACTCTATAAAATAGGGTACCTGGAGTCCATAAGGGACACCATGAGCTCAGGGATATATTTATGTCCTTTAATCAAGAGTACTTTGAGCTATACTGAGGTGCACTATGAGCATTATAAAGGATGTTATGAGTTATACAGATACACTATAAGTTAACACAACTCTCTCGCACAGAGGAGTGTGTGTGTGTGTGCACTGCAAGGTATGTACTTGAGATTATGAAGACTAAACGGGTGCTTTATGAGTTCTATTCATGTGTAATATGAACTCAGTGGAGATATACTGTAAATTCTACACAAGTCACTATCATGGCACAGAGCTCTAAACAAGTTCACTATGAGAAATACACTATGAGATCTGCACAAGATGAAGACGGTCATTTCCTACTCATCACAGGAGAAATCCATCAGCACAAAGTCCCAAATACAAAGGCACCCACATTTGTAAAAGAAATGCTACTAAAACTCAAAGTTCATATAAAACCTCACACACTTATAGTGGGAGACTTCAACACCCCACTCTCACCATTAGACAGGACCACAAATCAGAAACTTAACAAAGCAACAAAAGAACTAAGAGAAGTTATGTCTCAATTGGGTTTAACAGACATCTACAGAACATTCCATCTAAACACAAAAGAATATACCTTCTTCTCTGCTCCACATGGAACCTTCTCTAAAAATCAACCACATACTAGGCGACATAACAAACCTCAACAGATACAAAAAAATTGGAATAATCCCCTATATATTATCAAACCACCATGCTTTAAAGTTGGAATTCAACAACACAAATCGCAGAAACCCTACAAATTGATGGAAACTGAACAATGCGTAATTGCACCATACCTGGGTCAAAGAAGAAATAAATTAAGGACTTCCTAAAATTCAACGAGAATGAAGACACAACATACACAAACTTATGGGACACCTTGAAAGCAGTGCTACCAGGGACGTTCATTGCACTAAGTGCCCATATGAAGAAAACAGAGGATAGTCACATTAGAGAATTAACAGCACAACTGAAAGCCCTAGAACAAAAAGAAGCAAACTTACCCCGGAGGAGTAGACACCAGGAAATAATCAATTTGAGGGCTGAAATCAATAAAATAGAAACCAGGAAAACAATACCAAAAAAAAAAAAAAATCAATGCAACAAAGATAGACAAACCTTAATCCAAACTAACCAAAAAGTGGAGAGAGAACATGCAAATTAACAAAAATCAGAAATGAAAAGGAGGGCATAACAACGGACACTGAAGAAATCCAGACAATTTTCAGATTACACTTTGAAAACCTGTACTCCACAAAATTTGAAAATTCAAAGGAAATGGACAAATTTCTCGATAACTATCACTTACCAAAATTAAATCAAGAACAGATAAACAGCTTAAATAGACCTATAACCACTTACCCTAACCCTAACCCAATAAAGCCCA